TACTCAGCTGGGTCTCCCCAACCCAGGTCTCTTTCACAGATAGATATACAGAGAGATTTTTATAATATTTTATGAAGAGGAGATTATTTTAAACCATTGGAGTATCCTATCATAAAGGGATATGTCCAAAGAAATAGAACATATTCTGTGCCTTGAAACAGTAACATTCAATGCCATCTTCTTAGTCTAAAGGAACTAATTCAGGTTTTAAAAATATTCAATTCCTTTCAGGGTGGTGGCTATGTATTTGTAGATTCTGGTTCTTCATTTATTCCTTCATGATTTTCTTAGCCCTTGAATATCTTTCTCATCATTGACAGTTCTGCTGTGCTAGAAACATGACCCTTTAAAATAACTTAGTTATCAGGAGTCAGAAAAATCTTTTGATGCTGAGCAAATACCAGATTTATTTTGTGATAAACGTCTTTTAAACTGTCTAAATACCTATATTATACTATCCAAAAAACTGCTCATGTAAAGTGGGCATTGTTGTGAAGGTTTTGTTTTGTTTTGTTTTGTTTTGGCTATGGTATTAACAATCTCCCCATAAAATGCATGTTTCATCTCTATGGTAAGGACTACTTGCTGTCTGGGTCACTCACCCACAGTTGTAATAATTGTTGCTACAAACTTGTGGCACAGACTATGTGAATGTTTTACTCTGTTAAAATTTTTTACACTTTTTGAGTTCATCTAAAACGCTCTAAATCACCTTGTGTCTAACCATCTTCTCTAAGATTACTAGAGTTGAGATGCAACTAAAGATTGGGGGAAGATGGCTGATGAGAGGCATTGGTTGTCCTATCATCCTAGTGGGAAGGAAGGGTTTCAGACAGAGGAGAGTGGGGAAGGGGAATAGCTAAGGTGTAGTTCATGAGGGAAAGTTTTCAGAGCCTGCAGGACTCTTCATGGAAAGAAATCATGAGGCAGAAAACAAGAAAAAAAAAGGTATCAACAGAAATCTACCCTGGAGAAGCTCAGAGCCCAGTGAAGGTAGTGGTGGGTATTTTATTTCTCCTTCCCACACACTTCTGGTGGTCAGTGGATTGCCAGGGTGCTTGGGAGCTTTTCCACCCCCATAAGCCCAAATACTACTGCAATCATTGAACTGTGACCTCCTTGAAAATAAAACATTGGGCTCTTAGCCACTTTGGAGGTCAGCCCCTGTGACCACAGCCATGAGCCAAGAGAGCAGACATGCTGGTTTCAGCCCCTACCACCCCTTTCTCCACCCTAGGGAGCTCCAGCCCTTCAGTTTTCACATCACCTGCTTCCATAGACAGTTCACAGCCCCTTCCCAGATTGCAGTGGTCTCCAGAGAACTTGTGTAATCCCAGTCTGGACAATTTGTGAGGACTTCCTTCCAGGAAGAAAGACCAGGAGAAGTGGAATGCTGGCTCTCATCCATTCAGACTATTTTCCTCCTGCACTCCCCCTACTATAGTCAAGAGGTACCATTGAACCACAATTTTCAAAAGTAGCCCCCTGTACTGTGCGTGTAAGTCCTCCAGTCTAATGTTTCCAGAGAGAGTAGGGCCCACACCTTTCCCCTTGAGGACCTGCAGTGGACCTAGGGGGCTAGATCTGGGAGTTAACTGCCCACCGACATCCCATGGAGATGCCTGCCAGCAAGACAGGCAAGCAGGTGAATCCCACACCCCAAGACTTAATGAGGTTGCTTGAAGACACAAAGGGAATAATTAAGAGCTGGACTCAAGAGGTGGAGGGGCCCAGTTGGGCGGAACTACAGGAGAGTTCACTGTGGGTCTGAGTCACAGAAAACTGGTGGAGCACCCATCTGCCTGCAGGAAAACCATACCTTCAGACTTGGGTAGGTGCAGGGGTGAAGCGGTTGCCATCCCAAAGCACCATTGTTGACAAGCATGCCTGGCAAATTTGGGCACCCATTTACAACCAGACACTAGAAGGAGTCTCTTGGGGCAAGGGAAGGGCAAGGGGAAACAAAGTCACTCCTGATTGCCAGTTCCAATCCCCTGGAGCTTCTGGTACCTGCCACTGCCTGGTGCATTCAAGTACCTCTTCTGAGGGACTAAAGCAAATTGCAGGCATGGAAGAACAACTCTGCAGTTGGCTTCTTCCTATAAGTACCAACTTCTGATAAGTAGAATAACATCACAGCCCATTATAGCTCGAAAATGTAGAGAAAAATGGACAAATTTCCGGAAACATACAACTTCCCCAGATTCAGTCAGGAAGGAACAGAACCGCTGAAATAGACCAATAATGAAATCAAAGCAGTAATAAAAAAACTTTTAACAAAAAAACACCCTGAATCAAATGGATTTATAGCCAAATTCTACTATATGTATAAAGAAGAGCTGGTAGCCATACAATAGAAATTATTCCATAACCCAGAGAAGGAGGGAATTTACTCCAATTCACTCTATGAAGCCACTATCACCTTGTTACCAATGCCAAGAAAGGACACATATACACACAAACAACAACAATAACAAAAAGCTATAAGTCAATATCCCTGATGAATGTAGTTGCAAAAATCCTCAATAAAATGCTATCAAATCCAATTTGGCAGCATATAAAAAAATAATACACCACGACCCAGTGGGCTTATCCCAGGAATGCAAAGAGGCTTCAATACACATAGATCAATAAATGTGATTCACCACATAAACTGAAGAAAAAAAAAGACCGTATGATCCTCTCAATAGATGAGGAAAAGCCATTTGACAAAATTCATCACCCTTTTGTGATATAAACCCTCAACATACAAGACATAGAAGGACCATATCTTAAAATTATAACAACTATATATGAGGGCGGCGCCTGTGGCTCAAAGGAGTAGGGCACCAACCCCATATGCCAGACGTGGCAGGTTCAAACCCAGACCTGGCCAAAAACTGCAAAAAAACAAACAAACAAACAAACAAAAAAACCCCAACTATTTATGACAAACCCACAGCAAACACCATACTAAATGGGGAAAAGTTGAAAACATTTCCCCTAAGAACTGTAACAAGGCAAGGGTGCCCATTGTAACCACTTCTATTCAACATAGAGCTAGGAGTCCTAGCCAGAGTAGCCAGGCAAGAGAAAGAATCAAAGGGCATCCAAATCAGGAAAGAGGAGGTCAAATTATTGCTTTTCACAGATGACATGATCTACTTAGAAAACCCCAAATATTCCACCAAGAGACTCATGGAGTTAAGAAGTAAATTCAGCAAAATCTCAGATTACAAAATTAATGTACACAAATCAGTAGCATTTCTATATACTAACAGCCAAGCTTGAACATATCTTGTTCATAAACAGCAGAATCAAAATTGTAAAAGGTCCATCCTACCTGAAGTAATTTACAGATTCACTGCAATCCCCATCAAAATACCAATATCACATTTCACAGATCTTCAAAAAAATTATTCTATGCTGTGTTTGAAACCAGAGAAGAGCCCAAATAACCAAAACAATCATAAGCAAAAAGAACTGACCTGGAGATATCACATTATCAGATTTCAAACTATACGATAAGACTATAGTTATCAAAATAGTGTGGTACTTGCACAAAAATAGAGATATAGACCTATGAAACAGATTAGAGAGCCTAGATATAAAACCACTCACCTATAGCCAACTATTTTCAGCTAAGGAGCCAAGAACACTTGCTGGGGAAGTGAAGTCCTATTCAATAAATGGTACTAGGAAGACTGGATTGCCACATAGAAAAAAATAAAACATGATCCATATCTCACACAACTCACAAAAATTAATTTAAGATGAAAAAGGAGTTAAATATAAGTCATGAAACCATATAAATTCTAGAGGAAAATGTAGGAAAAAACACTTTTAAATATCAGAATAGGTAAAGAATTTATGACAAAGACCCCAATGGCAACAAAAATGAATAAATAGCATTTGACTGAACTAATAGCTACTGCACATCTGAGGAAATTCTCAACAGAGCAAATAGACAACCTATAGAAATGGGAGAAAATATTCACAAATTATACATGTGATGAAAGACTAATATCCAGAGCCTACAATGAACTCAAGTGAATCAGCCAGGAAAAAAAAAATTCCATCAAAATGTGGCTAAAATACATGAACATAAGCTTTTCAAAATAATGGCCAATAAAGATGATAAACATATGGCCAATAAAGATGATAAAATGCTTAATCTCACTAATAATCAGAAAGAGCAGATTAAAACCATAACGAGATATCAGTTTACCCCTATTAGAATGGCTTTCATTAAAAAGTCCCAACACAACAGATTTTGGTGAGGATGCAGAGAAAAAGGAATACTTATACACTGTTGGCAGGACTGCTAATTAGTAGACAGTCTATGGAAAACAGTATGGAGAATCCTCAAAGAACTAACAGTAGACCTATCATTTGTTCCCACTATTGGATAACTACCCAAAGGAAAAAAAGTTATTTTATCAAAAAGACAACTGCATTCAAATATTTATTTCAGCACAATTCCACAATTCACAATTGCAAAGATGTAGAATCAGCCCAAGGGTCCATCAGGTCATGAATGCAATAACAAAATGTGGTATATATATGCCTTTGAATACTACCAAGTCATAAAAAATGACGAATTAATGCCCTGTGCAATAATTTGGATGTAACTAGACACCGTTACCCTAAGTGAAGTATCTTAAGAATGGAGAAACAAATAGCACACATACTTGTTAATTAAGCTGAAACTAACCAGTGAGTACAGTGTGCACAGAGGAATGTAAAACTTAGTGGAAATAAAATACGGGGTTGGGGCAAGGAGGGGAGGGGCAAAAACTTAATGGGTGCAGTGAACACTAGTTGGGTGGTGGGCACATGTGTAGCTGCAACTCAAACATTATAAAGCAACCCATGCAACCAAAGTCATTTGTATCCCCTTAATAGATTGAAATTAAAAAAAAAAAGAAAATCCAAAATAATAATAATAAATACAAACACAGGACAAAAAGTTGCATCTAAGTTAGGATCTATGAGAAAACATGAAGGACAGATAAGCATACCGATAACGAAGTTGGCCTTGGAAGATGACTGGCCATACTGTTGTTCAATGTACTTCGGTTTATAGGTCACCATACCAAATAAGGAATTGAACTGAACGGTGCTTGTACACAAATATAGGAAGTATACTGGATTTCCAAAAAGATTCTTCAGTGATGGAAGGAAATCTGTAAGGCAAAAAAAACATGGCATAATTAAAGACAGTGCCACAGTTGGTAGAAGATGCAGCTGAGGTGGCAGGACTTAGATGGTTGAGTCCCATGTCGCTGTGTTTGGGAGCAGTCATAGTGTGGCACACATATACTCTATGCATTGTCTGTTGCTGGCACCCATCAAGGCTGCCATCTGGCCAGGTCCAGATCAGACATAGGCACTTGCTTCTATAGGAATGCAACAGGGATTACATTAGAGGTGAAAATCAAACAGATTTTCAGATTCAGAACAGATTCCTCAGAGACAAGAGTAATGAGAATGCACTGTCAACTATGCAGCTGGGAGCCCTATGCAGGACATCAGAATTTCATTTTTCTGGTCTCCATTCTTATAACTCAGGTCACGGTCACAGGGAAAGGAATATAAAAGTTGTCCCCATCTGATGTATCAATGTTGGCTTTACACATGACCTTTGGTATTCTATTCTTTCTTCTTTCTGTTATATAGACAACCAGTTAGACATGATAAGAATTTGAATAAATGTATTAGTAACTATCATCTGAGAAGAAGCAGTGAGGGGTTTAATCTTGTGTCTATACCCCCATGGAAGGGATTCATAGAACACTCCGTCCTTTTGTCCACACCACAGTCACTGGAATCATTGGCGAAAGTCCTGCAATACTCAAATGGATGGATCCCATCTGTTAAAAGGTCACCAAACTTTCAGATTCATTCCTTCTCTTCTTCCACTCAGACTTATACAAAACAGCAATCTGGGGTAGAGGCTACATTGCAGGGTCTAAATCACGGGGATGTGAGTGGGCAGAGAGGTTATGTGCTGAAGTTTTCCAGTAATGAAGGTGACTTGCTAATTGTGATTTTGCTTCCTGTATAGTTTCTCAAGTTTTTAAAACAACACATAATGGGAAATAAGGGGTATTATTTCTAATCCCCCTAAAGTCTCAACGAGCTTCACTATCACAGAGAAACTGACTTACCTTTTGCCATTTCCATTATTTTTGCTTTTTCTTCATGGGGTGTTTGGTAGTCTGTGTGATCGTCTATAATAAACTTGGACTTCTCAGGAGGGGAATTAGAGTCCTCTCCACTTTGGGGTCTTGGTAGGCTCTTTGGTAAACACCAGAAAGGCACAGCTGCAAGAAGACTTATGATTCCTGCTATGAGATAACCAAGCCACCAGGCCCCTACCCACTGGGGATCCTTTGGGGTAATGGTTATGTGATCTGAAAGGCAGAGAAGATGGTTAACTAAGTAACACAGTTAGCAACGAATGTGTTGAAACAAGCTACTGTAGAAAAATGAGATCCTTGCACAAATTCTTATCACATCATCAAAATATCTAATAATTCACACATGATCTTTTCAAAAATCTGGACATGGATTATAGGAAGACCTTGGAGATATTGCAGGTTTGACTCCAGAGTACCTCAATAAAGTGAATATTGTAATAAGTGAGTCACATGAGTTTTTTGGTTTCACAGTGCATACCAAAGTTAGGTTTTTATTATACTGTAGTCTATGAGGTGTATGATGGCATTTAGTACACATCCTCATTAAAAAATACTTTCTTAATACTTTCTGATGCCTGTAGCACAGTGGTTATGGCACAGCCACATACTCTGAGAGTGGCAGGTTCAATCCTGGCCTGGGCCAGCTAGACAACAATGACAACTGTAACAAAAATAGTTGGGCATTGTGGCGGGTGCCGGTAGTCCCAGATATTTGGGAGGCTGAGACAAGAGAATCACTTAAGCCCAAGAGTTTTAGGTTTCTGTGATCTGTGACACCACAGCACTCTACCAAGGGCCACATAGTGAGACTCTGTCTCAAAAAAAAAAAAAAATAAATACTTTCTTGCTAAAAAATATACTAACAATCAACTCAGCCTTCAGCAAGGAGGAATCTTTTCGGAGGGTCTTGCCTTGATGTTGATGGCTGCCAACTGATCAGGGTGGTGGCTCCTGCACCTCCAGGTAGCCATGGCAACTTCTTAAACTAACACAACATTGAAGTCTGCTGCATCAATTGACTGTTCCTTTCACGAGTGATTTCTCTGTTACATGTACTGCTATTTGATATCATTTTACCCACAGTAGAACTTCTTTCAAAATTAGAGTCCACTGAAACCCTGCTGCTTGCTTTACCAACTGAGTTTACACAATGTTCCACCTCCTTGTCATCATTTCAACAATGTTCATAGCATCTTCACCAGGAGTAGACTCCATCTTCAAAAAGACAAAAAAACACTTTCTTTGCTCATTCATAAGAAACAATTCTTCTTTTATTAAAGTTTTAAATTGCTGAGATTGCAGAAATTGTCCCCTCCTCAGCATCCACTTCTAATTCCAGTTCTCTTGCTATTTCCAGCACATCTGCAGTTACTTCCTCCACTAAAGGCTTGAATCCCTCGAAGTCCTCCATGAGGATTGGAATTAACTTATAAACTCCTGTTAATGTTGATATTTGACCTCATCCCATAAATGAATTCTTCATGGCATCTAGGATGGTAAACATTTTCAAAAGGTTTTCAATTCACTTTTCCCAGATCCATCAGAGGAATCACTATCTATGCCAGTTACATCTTCATGAAATTTATTTCTTAGATAATAAGACTTGAAAGTTGAACTTATTTCTTGATCCATAACATACAGAGTGGATGTTGTGTTAGCTGGTAGGGAAACAACAATTTATCTTCTTTTATCTCCATATCAGAGCTCCTGGGTGACCAGATAAATTGTCAATGAGCAGTAATATATTTTGAATGGAATCTTTTCTCTGAGCATTACTTCTCAACAGTGGGCTTAAAACATTCAGTAAGCCATGCTATAAACAGATATGCTATCCAGACTCTGTTGCTCCATTTATAGATCACAGGTAGAATAGATTTAGCATATTTCTGAAGGGCCCTGTGATTTTCAGAATAATAAATGAACATTGACATGCATTTAAAGTCCCCAGTTGCCCTGATCCTTAACCAAAGAGCCTGTACGTTGCAGCTTTGAAACCTGGCATTGACTTCTCCTCTCACGCTGTGAAAGTCCTCAATGACATTTTATTCCACTAAAAGGCGATTTCATCTACATTGAAAATCTGTTGCCTCATTCATCAATTATCCGAGCTGCCTTCCAGATAACTTGTACCTTCTCTATCTGCACTTGCTGCTTCATCTCACACTTTTATATTCTGGGCAAGACTTCTTCCTTTAAACCTCATGAATCAACCACCACTAGCTTCCAAATTTTCTTCTGCAGCTTCCTTACCTCTCTCAGTCTTCATAGAATTAAAGCGAGGTAGATCCTTCCTCTAGATTGGGTTTTGGCTTAAGGAAATGTGGCCAGGTTGATCCTCTATCCAGACCACTAAAACATTCTCCATCTCAGCAAAAAGGCTGTTTTGCTTTCCTATCATTCATGTGTTCCCTGGGGTAGCACTTGTAATTTACAGCAAGAACTTTTCCGTTGCATTCAGAACTTGGTTGACTATCTACATACCTTTCAGTCTATGCACCTTTTCAAAATGCCTGACTCACTAAGCTTAACAATTTGACTTCAATGAGATGTTGACTCACTTAAGTCAAATGAGTTTTTGACTTAAAATGAGACTCTGACTAGAACAATTAGAAGCCATTGTAGAGTTACTAATTCAACATTGTTGTGTCTTTGAGAACAGAGAGGCCCAAGGAGAGGGAGAGAGAAGGGGAACTGCAGGTCAGTGGAGCAGTCAGCACACATACATTGACCGAATTTCCTCTTAGGTGGGCACGGTTTGTGCTACCCCTAAACAATTTCAACAGTCATATCAAAGATCATCAGAGATCACAGACCTCTATAAAAGATAATAATTACAGAAAAGCTTCAAATGTTAAGAAAGCTAACAAAATACAACCCAGAGACGGGAAGTGAGCACACGTTTGAACATATGGTCCCCATAGACTTACTCATGGAAGGGTTGTCCTGAGTCTTCCATTCATAAAAACACAGCATCTGAGAAGTGCACTGAAGCAAAACCACACTAACACACACCGTGGCTGCATTATCTCTCTTGTTGAAGGGAAAAGGACATTTCTGGAGCAAGATACTACCTCTTTTGTTCGTTACTCTAAAAACATAATGTCTAAACTCTGGAATGTTCTCATAATTTTCAAACTGTACTCCAGGGTACTGCAAAGTGACTGGAAGTAAAAGGAAGGCAACATTCTAGGGAGAATTATGAGGGCTCCAAGCTCCTATGTCAGCTACTTCATATCAGCATCACTTACATCCAATTTACACATTGGACGTCTGATTAAGATTTTGTTTGACAAAAGTTATTCCCTACACCCTCCAGTCAAAATCCTGTGCAAGCCTCTGCATATACCGATGGTAAACTTAAGACTCATTGAGGTTAAATCAGTGGAATTTTCTCATTAAATGGTGGTTAATAATATTCTAAGGCTGATGCTCGATTTGTATATAGAGATAAAACTTCAATAAATCATGCATCATAAAATCTTTGACACTCACTTGCCTAAGGAGTAAACATTGATGATTTTTTTTCATTAAACTGTTTTTTTCCTTGTATAAGAATCTATGAAACAAAACACTACATCTCCACCACACTTCATGAGAAAAAACAAACACATTTCCCTTGACAATGATATTCAATCATCACTGCATTATAGTTGATAAAAGGTTTATATTAGTTTGTCATTACATCTTAATTGCTTCCCCTTGATAATCTATAGTGTTCATCACATATATACTTTCTTATCTATACCAGTCTTTACAAGTAGATTTTAACTTTCTTGAAGTCAAGGAACTCAACTATTTGTTTAGTGACACAGCATCTGGGATAGAGTACATGTATAATAATTGGGGGTGGGGATGGGGAATGAATAAATAAAATTTTTGAAATGAGTCTTGCAGGTTATTTGATTTAAAATGTGCGAGATTTTTGCATTTGTTTTACATCTGATGACTTCAAAATGCAAGTCCAGATTTGCTCTTTTTTAGTGAAAACTTGTTTTCTTGTTTATAACTGATTTCTTGAACTTCTTCTAAAGAAAGGTAAATATCATCTATTTCTAGGTGGTACACCTCACAGAGATAGAAACAAATTAATAGCTATAGAAAGATCAGGATTGCTTATTTATTTTTTAGACAAGCAATCTCCTGGAAGGAAAGCCAGGCTTGCCTTCACCTAAAAGAGATTTATACAGTGAAAAAAAAAAAAAAAAAGAAGGAACTTTGGTTGCCAGAAGGCTTTCAATCCTTGGTCTTTCTGGCAAATGCCCAAATACATTATCAATTGATACAACTATAATAAATGTTGACACACCTGAAACCAAGGATAGCCAACAAATAGCCACAGTATTCAGCCTTAACTACAGCTGGAATGTGTTTGAACTGGCAAACCAAAAATGAAAAAGGGTACACCCTCATCACACACTGTGGGTCATCCCGTTTCAATCATCACCCATTTTCCATATTCCATTTATCAATGCATATGAGGATTAAATCAATAATAAGATTCCTATGGATTATTTTCTTTAACCGAAAGGTTATTACCCTACCATTTTATAAAAAGGCAATTTGATATTTTTCATACCGTCCCCATTAAAAAGGTTGCAGTAGCTAAAATAAATGAATAAATAAAAATAAACTCCCATACCTAGGTTTACAAAGCCAATGTCAACATACAGTTTGGCACATAATGATCCTAACAGGAAGCCAAAGATCGGTCCTATAATTGCAACCGTCTGCACACACCCTGCACCAAGAAAAAAAAGGGGGGGGGCAAGAAGAGCTGTCATGTCTAGGCTCTGACAGATTAATAAATTTTAAACAAGAAATGAGATCCAGTTAGTGGCTGAAAATGTTTCAGCTTCTCATTGATTGCATGTAATTTGTCCAGTCTTCAACCACATTGCATCAGAAAATCAGTGCTTCTCTGCTTGGAGAGAAGAATGAATACTTTTAAAGCATTAATTACCTCTTAATAAGAAAATAACACTAAAATGCTGAAGAAGTTAATATTCTACAATGAAGCAAACTTAACTCCCTAGGATTAGATTACCCGCTGATTAAAAATTAGAGCTGTGCTAACTTTGATAGTCATTCAAACATTTTCTATGAATAGTTAAGCAAAAGATTTGTTTTGACATTCAAATTGATTTCTTCTACCTAATGAAAAAGCGTATGCATTCACTTGGAGGGTCTGAGCAATCATTTGTGAGAACAGGATCTGTGTGGGTAGGACCTGGATGCAGATAGCAAATGAACTAGAATTTGTAACAGGAAAAGTACCCTTTGAAACCCTCCTGAGCAGCCCTTCACAGGTAAGTGGTACAGATGGCCTAAAGGCCATCATTTCTAGTAACCAGAAAGGTAGCTCCTCCATGCAAAGTATCTCCCATCTGCCTTTCATTTAGCCACAGAGCTTAAAAACACATGTATCCTTGGGAGGTGAATTTAACTTGAGTAGACAGTAGTTACCAGATCCTTTCCAGAACAGAGGGCAAAGAGATCAAGCTCTGAGCTCCTGGAGAGGACAGGGACACTTTGGCACCTGTATGCTTCTCCTGGCTGCCACCATTCCTCCAGTCCCCAGAGTAATTGCCTGTGATGGAATATTTAATTCTAATTCCACTTCCTAATTAATGCCATAGTCTTTCATTAGAGCAAGAACTCCGTTCTTAACTATAGCCTGCTTGGGTGTAATCATCATGCCTTGGAGCTGTGTAGAGGATAGCCAGGAGCATACAGTGGGCCTAGATAGGCCTCTTACATGAATTTAAATCTGACCCCTTTGTCCCCGAGGCAAGGCTTTCAAAAGATCAGAATTCTAAGAAATCAAGACTGATGTGTGAAACAGAGAACAAGTTTTAGTCATCCCCGAGTCTCTAGTTTCTGGTTTAATCTCAAGACATAAGAAGCACCCAATAAATGCTGTTTAAATGCATTTGATCTTGGAATTATGCCTGTGCCATATTATTTTGGGTTTGTGATTTTAGCTGCTGGTCTATTTACTGGGACCTGTTGCAGAGATGGGATATCCTCGGGTCTAGCTCCTAAGGTTTTTAGATTTTCTTTTATTCATTCTTAACTACTATTAATATTTCAGAAGTTCTTATTGCCTATTCCTATAAAAAGTTACTTTAAATAATCAGGGCTTATACAATATAAAGAAGTTAAATTAAACTTCCTGCATTCTGTATGGTAGGATTGTTATCCCACCCAAGGAACCTATTACATCTGAATCCCAGGAAGACACTTTCACAATGTCATTTGTTATTGCAGTTGAACTCACAGTTACTTTTCTTCCCTATAACAGTGGATCTTTCTGCATCTTCATCATCACATCCTAAATGTGTACTTCAGAAATGTGTGAGCTGAAGAAATGGATTGGATATGAAGCATCATAGTTCCCACACCCAGTTTGCTATAGGTTGGAATTGGGAAAACCAGGTACCCTGCTGCTCCCACCATGAGGGAAACAATATACCCAAATTACCAATATAGAAAGCTGCATTGTCTTCACTGGCAAAATCATCCAGGTAGGCAATGCCCAGAGGCTGAATGGGAGTTTCTCCTATGCCACGAAGAAGATTTCCCAGGAAAACATAAACCCACATGGAGGAGCTGGCGTCAACTTCGCACTCTTTAAAGAAAAGCAGAGCAGAGGTTTGGAATTAGATCACTGTTACCGCTAATTATTTACTCTATGTTTCTACAATGTATCTTCAATCTGTATTAGCATGCAGGAATTTTTGCAATGGTCATTATTTGATAGGAGTTTAGGCAAGTTTGGAAAATGTTTGGTGACTTCTATCTTTCAGGCAGTATGAGTCCCCTGGAAACTTCACCAAGGAGCTCTTATTATTACTCTTGCTCTTCTTCCCTTCATTATTACTTTCTCTCTTCTTCTCATTCCCTATGCAGACTGAACTTTTTGCCCCAGACTTGTAGCTGGGGCAAAACACACAATTTTTTTTTTCTTTTTTTGCTGTTTTTGGCCAGGGCCAAGTTTGAATCCACCACCTCTGGTATATGGGGCCGGCGCCCTACTCCCTTGAGCCACAGGTGTAGCCCAAAACACAAAATTTTAAACAAAGCTTTCCCACCCTTATTTTTGCACTTCGCTATTTTTCAGTAGAAATCACAAGTAATCTTATTGTTGACCAATTTCACTCTTTTACACTGCATGATTAAATATTTCCTAACTAGTTTGACTGCCATTTATATCATGAGTCTTCCCTGATGGCTAAAAACAAAACATCTTCATTGACTGTGCATTATATCTGAATGAAATTCCAAACCTGTTAGTCAGTTCCTTGCCTTTTTATATGTATATACATTTCAAGAAAGAAAACTCCTAACAAAAGATAATCAAAGATGAACACAAGTCATATTTGAATCCCTCTTGTACTTGTAAAAGCCAATTGACTTCTACAGTTGTATATCTACAAGACACAGAATAATAAATATTATTGGTGTATATTGAGCATTACATTTTAATACAATTTTCCTTTCTTAAAATGTGTATACATTTTTTGGCACCCTGGGTTTGTATACATATGTATATATGTGCGTGTGTGTGTATGAATATAAGGTGATCTCATGGTGACAGATCTGACCAAACACTATGAACTGAGGGTTATAGATATCTAAGCCGGCAGGGAATATGAGTCCCTCTAACTATTATGTAAACTCCCTAGAATAAGAGCAAGCACTGAGGGAAAAGATGAAGGTTAGGGACAAATTGAGATTAAGTTTTTTGCATTCTGATGAAAAGGAACTGGACTCAGAAATTAAATTGACTTATGGAGAAAATTATATTTCTTTCAGATCTGAGCAACATACTGAGATTTGTATGGGCTAGACTATCTTACATAGCTTTTAAGACCCACCTTATTTGACCACTGGAAAATTTTCCCAGTCACCAGTAATTAATCTTCTTCCTTTCCATATGATTTGATTATTTGGATATTTTATTCAGATTTCATCACATACTGCCTTATAATCCAGGCCTTTTTATGATATCATAATATCTCAATTTAAACAGTGCAGCCTTTGAGAGCAAAAATCATACAGATATTTTTGTCCATACTAAACCATGTATAATGTCTCTTCCAAATGTTTCCCTAGTCAAGTAAATTTACAAAAATAATAATCTTACCGTCCCTTATTTTGGATTGTGACTTTTCCAGAACCGAGATTGGTAATTGGCTACTTGAGTCTAGGAGACACGGAGAGATGCTGAGAGTTGAATTGGAGAAAGAATATCTCTCATATCTGTACCTGTATAAGAAGAGCACTGTCTTTGTGATAAACTCATCAACATCATGCTAAAAATATTATGTGTATGCTTTACGACTCAATAGGAGACCTGGCTGAATTTGCAACTATCTTTGATCTGAATGATCAACCCAACCAACACTGTGCAGCAGAGTTTACAGAAGAGGTAGCCTGAAGATCTGGTTCATGGGTTTCAGACCATACCTGGATTAGTCAATTAGCTAAAGAAAATAAAAAGTAAGAATTATTCACAGAGGCTCATTTTAATATAAGATAATGACTATCATATCTAATACTTGATAAAATCATGACTATCTCTGAGTCAGAAAAAAAGCAATAATCTAGCAACTTGTATAGCCATCATCACACTGTATTGAGAGTTGTAACTTTTGTAAAACAACTGCAAGGCTGATTCATGAGAACAGATAATGATACGTGGCTTTTTGAACCACTTATCAGATGGTATTCTGCCTTTCCTCTATAGCTTACTAATCTGGCCCTAAATTATTTCTTATTTTCTGAGACAGAGTCTCACTTTGTCACCCTGGGCAGAGTGCATCATAGCTCACAGAAATCTCAAGCTCTTGGGCTTGAGCGATCCTCCTGCCTCAGCCTCCCAAGTAACTGGGACTATAGGCATCCACCACAACGCCCAGCTTTTTTTTTTTTTTTTAAATGGCATCTCACTCTTGCTGAGGCTGGTCTCGAATTCATGAGCTCAAGCAATCCACCTGCTTTGGCCTTCTAGACTGCTAGGATTCCAGGCATGAGCCACAGAGCCTGGACCCCAAATTATTTCTAATTCCACTCTTTCCTCTGTTTATAATGCTGTGTTGACTACAGGTTTGAAAAGCCAAGGCTTGAAGGTAGGACAGTGGTAACAGTCCTACAGTCCTCTACAGTCCTCTAGCTCCACTTTCCTCCTCAAATTGTCCTTCATGTGCCAAGTTCCTGACTTCATTAGTACCCTGCAGGGAAGAAGTTATCATAACATCATCTTTTATTATTTTGTTCAGGCATTGTGTGACTAAAGGCTAGTAATGATAGCAATGCATTTGATGTACTATCAAAGTAGAAACCTGCTTATTCAGCATGGTAAGGAAAAGATATATCGCATTATTAAAAAATTCAAGTTGGCAAATGGGTTTCCTTACATCTGTTTACACCTCAGTAAATTTATGAACCCCATGGAAAAAGTAAGAACATTTTTGAATGTATATTTTTATGGAATGGTTAAGAGAAGAGGTTGACAGTTTTTAGCATTTTATCAAATGGTTCCCTGTTTTGGTTCTCTGACCAAAATAGGTTCAGAACCACTTAATAAGGTCAACTGTTTTCAATTATTAACTACACAGGAGAACATTTAGCATTGAAGTCATGGTAAATATAATGGTTTTTAAAATAATTACAAAGATAACAGAGACTATTATTATGCCTCAAGTGAGCATCAATGGGATTATGTAGTATTTTCAAAAATTTTAATTATTTGACCTTTCTCATTTCTGTCTGGCCAAAGGTTACTATTGCAAGCATATTAATTATTTAGACTTGGAACAAATGGAATCTCATGTGTTACTTTTGTCACTAATTAATATCTGTGACTCTTTAAAAAAATTAATCTTTCAGTTTCAATTTTCTTAGTGTAAAATGAGAACATAGATGTGCTCTGTGCCTATTTAGACTCTGTGTAGATGAAGAGGCAAAGAAGGGATTCAGCAGGAGACCAACGCTATACATGCATTTAAATTCAGTACTTTCGACCTGCATTCAAATCCTGACTCACAACATCTTGACCGATGTATAAAATTCTACAGTGGCCTCCTGAATTGTTTCTTTGCTTCTAAGCTCACGCTGCCAGAGTCAATTTTCCAAGCAGCAGTCATGTGATCCTTTAAAAATATAATTCAGATCATGTACTTCACTCAAACCGTCCACTGACCTCCCCTCTCATCCAGAGGAGAAGCTAAAGCCATTGCAATTTTTGTCAATGACCTTGTGACTCAACAGAGGGTCTGCAAACCAGCAGTGTCAGCTGTCTCAGCCCCAAACCTAGAGCTATCCAATCACAATTTGCAGTTTGCTGGGAGCTTGAGGTGATTCAAATGACCAACCAAGTTTGACAAACCACCTTGACATATCCTCCCTTTCCCTTTTACTTCTCAGATTTCATTTCTTGTATGTTTCACTTTAGTCACACAAATCTCCTCGCAGTTCACCTGCACAACTGCAGAAACACTGCATTTTGTCTGGAAGTTCATTTAGACTAGAGGTCTCCTCCCTCAGATATCTGCATGGCTCTCCCCTTCCCCCTTTTCAGGTATCCCTCAAATGTCACCATGTCGTGAGCCATTCCTCCACCACCCTTCTTTACCTTGCAGTACCCACCAGCACCCCCCAACTGCAACACGTACTCCTTATGTGTCTTCTGTGAGTTGTTTTCCTCAATTGTCCTTATCTACCTGACATACTATATTTGTTCATTGTTGACCTTCTCAGAAAATACACAAGGGCAGAGGTTTTTGTTGCTACCCTATCCCTAGTACAGAGAATAATGGTCAATATGTATTTGTTAAATTTAGGAGTTAGATGAGTGGACATAGGCAAAGCTAAACCCATCCTGGTGGGGGTAGGCCCTTAATCATTGCTGTCTATTGATTGCAGGTTATTTTATTGACAGAAGGTTATTTCTGCAAAGGAAGATTTTATTGACAGAAGGTTATTTCTGCAAAGGAAGCAGAGTATAGATCTTTTTAAGAGAACATGAACCACATTTTGGGTAAAGACTCAATTAATAACTAATGCCGTGAAAAACTGAAGTCATGGTAATAATCCTCAGTAGAGAGCAAGCTTCATAAATGAAGGAATTATGATTTTGTTTTCTTTTGTTTTCTAGCCGAAACAGCCTCATCACTTGCACAGTTATCTGGAAAGTGGCAGATAGTAAATAATGAATAAACAATGATATCCTTCAACATCGACAGGTGGTGGAGAGAATAATCTAAGTGCCTGTCCTTTTGACATCCTTTGTGAGCTCCATCTAAGTGCCTGTCCTTTTGATATCCTTTGTGAGCTCCATTCTGACCTTCTCTCAGATACACTTTTCTTTCTAATTTTCTTGCATTGGTACTCTATATTTGTCATTAACAAAGTAATAAAATCATTTATCTGAATACAGCACCATTAAGATAAAGGTATTGCTGGTTAAAAACGGGTAATTTAGTTAGCTATGGAAGATTGACACACACACAATAGTGGTGACACAGCTGATTATACTGGGAACTTTGATAAGAATTTTGCTTGTGTCATCTAATATAATATTTGTGACAACATTATAAGCTAGGTGTTATTGTTAATGCCTATGTTAAGATGCATAAGCTGAGTCCTGGAAAGGTTATGTCACATATTAGAGCTACTGATCATTACACAGTGAGCTAATTCGGGAGGCAAGGATTTATTTATCCTTTACAACTTGCTTTCACACTTTTAGATATTTTTAGTCATGGAACTCCTTTTTTTTTTTTCTACCTGAGAAAACTGCTCTATGAAGGCCCCTTGACCCAGACATTTCCTGGATGAAACAATGATCATGCAGATTTGAGACCCATTTCTGTAGTCTTTCCATCTCCTCCTTCTTACTCATTAGACCTACATTACACTTCTGTAGAATCTCAGTGATCCAAAGAAACTTCTGCCCAATGGGAGGCCAGAGAGGATCCATAAAGCAGGCAGAAGTCCCCAATCCAGAGATGCCTCTCAAAGTAAGAATTAATGGTCTGGGAAATGCATCCAAATGGGTAGGAAAGCTTCCATTTAGAAGATTCTGTGTCCTCCCTTTATTGATTCCCCAGGGAGGTCAAATCTGGCTATAAGTGATCATGGAATTTGAGAAAAAGCTCAAATAAGGTCATTATAAATCTCTCTGGTCCTAAAATGTCATGATACAGTGATCTAGAGTAGAAAATATTTGAAGTATCTCTTGATGCATAATTTTCTAACATTCTCTTGCTTCAAAACTTTTTGGTAGTCATCTTTCTTATCAATAGGTAAACACAGATAAGAGAGGCAGTATGGACGTGTGTAAAGGCTGCTATTTCAAAAGTCAGAAGACACGTTTTAAGATTCTGGTTCCATATTTGCAAGACACCTAACCTTGAGGAAGTCATCAAGCTCTCCAAATCATGGAGTCCTCAGCTCAAAAGTAAAAATGGTAAACTATGTTCTCCAATCCCACAGGTTGTTATAAGGGTAAAAATGATGTAATAAAGGTGAAAATCTTTGGAACTACTAAAATTGTATGCAAGTACTAACAAAAGTAGTAACAAAAGCACAAAAAGTAGTCTTTGAGGTTGAGAGGACACAGATATCCTATTTCCATCGATAAAAATCTAGGCAATATTGTTTGGACATTGAATACTTGTTCAAGTTGACAATATAATCCTGAACCAATTATCTGTAGCCAGTGTACCCTGACCCAGCATTTATTCTCTGTGGTATTCATTCCTTCTTCATTTGACATTGACCACATAATACAGATTTTAGTATAGTAAATTTATAAAAGTATTCTGATATTTTGTCCAAAAAAAGTTAATAAAAATAAGGCATGAAATTATTGTGAGTTAAGATTAAATTTAAATAATTGTAATCATAAAGGGAGAAATGCAGTTGTCTGACAAGGCAAGAAATAGATGACTGGTTTAGACTTACTGCTCCATGAAGAACTGAGGCATTGCAATGAGCAACGTTCCAACTCCCATGATTAGGCACCCTGCTCCAATTATTTTTGGCCTGTGAAGTTTGGCTCCAAAGTAGCTAACAAATGTTATAACTAAGAGATTCCCTTTGGGGGAAAGAATTAAGCATTCATAAGTTAGAAAACATAGAAAAAAGTCAACAGCATAATTAAATGAATAAATAACATGCCAGCAATGTTTTACTTTGACTAAACCATCTCCCCACAGTCTTTCCCATCATTCATCTTTTCCTTTAATCTTAGATGACTTTTCTTTTTTTTTTTTTGAGACAGAGTCTCACTTTGTTACGCTACGTAGAGTGCTATGGCATTATAACCCACTGCAATCTCAGATTCTTGTGGTCAAGCCTTGTGGTCTTGCCTCAGCCTCCCAAGTAGCTAGGACTATGGGTGCCCACCACAACGCCCAGCTATTTTTTTTTTTTAGAAAAGGGGTCTCTTGCTCAGGCTGGTCTTCAAATCCTGAACGCAAGCAAGCCACCCGGCTCAGCCTACTAGAGTGCTGGGATTACAGGTATGAGCCACCACCACATCTGGCCTTAGATGACTCTTGAAATCCTCTTCATATTCATTACTTCAATCAACCCATCCCTTTGTTGAAATGTTTTAATTACATCCCTTCTCACTCGCCCAACCTAATTACTTGTCCTGTTAAAGTATTTTAACAGTGAATTAAATTATAGAAGGCTTCATTTTGTTGTTCTCTTCAATTTTCTTTAATGATTTTTGAGGTAAACTTTGTAATTGTTTCTTTATTCATTAAAGTCTTTTATTTTTTACTAAAGCTTCTATTTGTTCTTGAAATATACATTACAAATTTTCTCTTTCCCTGATATCCATTATAGAAAAGGTAAAATAAACACAACTCTACCTCACTTTAAATGAAATCAAATTATGAAACATATTTACATAAATGATACTTTATAATCTGTTTATAAACTTTTTTTGAAAAGACTAAAAATAGGAATAAAAATCACTCCACATAGAAAACTTCTGCCAGATATCAATTGTATAACCTCAATGTATACCTGTAACCAAAATTTTATTAAATACAAAATCTCCATAAAATATACTCATCCATTACTTTATTAAAAATAATTATAGAAAATATGCTTTTTAAAAATAGGAAACATGCCTGTTTAACATGATTCCAGTAAAGCATGTGTTAAGTTACTTACAGTTGATGGTGGTGGTAACTGATTAAACATGCTTTAGGGCAGATTTCTCATGCTTTGCAGCACTAGGGAAGTGGAAACTTGTTAAAATGCAGATTCTTGGCAGGTCCCAACAGTTTCCTATTCCATGGATCTGGGGGCAGGCCAAGAAATCTGCATTTCCAATACTAGCTGGAGTGTGTTGATGGGCATGGTTCCTGGAACATGCTTTCACAAACATTTTTTAGGGTCTTAAGTTTCAAGGGGCTTTAAGGTTTTAGCTCCATGTATTTGGAATCTTTCACTTTTAAGAATTATGGTGCCAGATAGAGTGAGAATTTAACAATCTCCAGCAATTGATCGTGATGGCTGATGGTTGTCCTTGCTTTGAAGTTCTCCTGGATATTTCCAATTTTCTAGCAAGAGTGTGTTTCCTGACATCTGTGAGCAATCATCTCGTTCACTACTGTTCAGTCCCATTGCCAGCTTTGGTCAATTGGAAAAAGAGCAGTGATTTCTATAGCCTTGAAGATAATAATAATGATAGTGAGAAAAGTAATTTGCACAGTGGCTCTCATCTTTATGGCTCCAGAAGAAACAAGCTCTTCTCAAATAATAATTATGCGTAAGATTTCCCATTTGACATTTAAGTATATAGTATAACACGTGTTGAAGCATATTATATCCATATGTATGTCTATACCTTTGTTAATGTGCTACAGAAAATAAACCAAAATAAAGTGAAAACTGACTTTCCATTTATAGGCAACCCCCTCCCACCTCCACGCATCCTTCACCAACATGGCACAATTGAAGACTAACATTTACAGGCTGTTTCTGTATTACGTTAGCCAGTATGTTGAATGCAAGATGATATGTGTGGGTCATTGTGAAAGTTTTGAGGACACAAAAAAATCAAGAAATGTAAAATCCGCTTGGATGGAAACGAATGAAGCCCTCTCAGCAATATCAATAAACTGAGCAAGTTGAAACTTGCATTGGGTGAATCAAAAAGGACACTGTCAACTGTGCTTCCTGGAAGTGAAATAATGGACTATAACATGGTCTGTCTTAAAACTTTTGTAGTGACCTCTGCATCATTTTTTAATGATATTTATAGAAGATTTTGCTTCTCTTACTCAGTGTCCTTTCCAAGCCTCTCTGAGTTCTCAGGAGATACATTTGGAAAATAGTGACTAAACATTTTAAAAAATTAAATTGGATATCAGAATTCTTTCACACCTACCATTGCTAGCCTCTGAAAAAGAAAATAGGTACAAATATTTCCCACTCTTTCTTTGTCTATCCCCCTCTGTGCACACACACACACACACATATACATACACACAATTTCACATAAAAGAAATGAAAAAAACTATAAAATTGATCCCATAAGAGGAACATAATAACCTGGAAACTCAGATTAGAGAAGGACAATACAAGAAAAGAGGATTAGCCCCCAAATTTCATTGTCAAGACAGATGTAAAAATCCTGAACAAAATACTAGCTAACTGAATAGTGCCTAAAAATAACCACATCCCAACTAAGTACAGTCTATTACCAGAGTACAAAGGTACCACCAAATTAAAAAAGATTGTTAATTAAATCACTGTATAACTAATGGAAGAGCAATTCCATGGTTATCTTAATAGATGTAGTAAAAGCACTCCAAAAAATTGACCACTCACTAATGACAAGAAAAAAGTCTAAGTAAAGCAACTTTTGAATTGCATTTATCTAAATCACACAGCAAGCATATTGCTCAATAATAAAATTTAAAAAGCATTTTTATTAGGGTCCAATACAAGAGAAGGGTGCCCATTGTAGCTGCTTCTATTCAACATAGTTCTAAGCCAATGCAATAAGGCAAGAACAACAACAACAACAAAAACAGATCTAGGAGTTGGAAAGAAAAATTAAAAATTATCTTCTCTTTTAGACAAGATGGATTTCGATTTCAATGACATTTTTGCATACAAATAAAATTTAGACGCCAATATTATTCCCACATTGCAAGAGTTATCAAATAGAAAATGTAAGAAAAATCTGTTTCACTGCAACAACAAAAACTTTCAATATGAAAGAGAAAAATCTAACAAAGAATAATAAGTTTATAGAAAAAATTAACAAAAAATCATTGAAAGCTATGAAAACAAAACATCTGAATAAATGGAGAATTAGACCATGTTCATAGATGGGAGAATCGCCATCATAAAATATCCACTATCTGATCTGACTCATATCCAGATTGGGTTTGATTGGAATTTTACAGAATTCATTCAAACTGAAAAGGATATTTCAGCACGGTTATCAAAGTATATCAAAGAAAAAAACTGAAAGATAAATTTGAAGATTTTCCTCCCTGAAAACAAAGCTAATTATAAAGCAATAATCATTAAGATAGTCTTGCACTGAGTCAGGAATAAGCAGATGTACAAAAGAGATTGACATGGAAGTAGTAAGACATGATAAAGGAGAAGGCATTTCAGGACTTGGGCCAAGTACATAGTTAGTGGTGTACTTGGTTACAATAATATAAGGAGACTTCCACATCCCACTATCTAAAAAATCTATTTCAAGAGAATCAAACACTAAAATGTAAAAGCACAACTATGAAATATTTAGAAGAAAGTATATAGAGAAATTTTTCAAAAACAGAATTAATATCGAATATATTAAGGGTTATGATACAAAAAACTTTTCATTTTCTTGGTGACTCTCATTTTTTTGAAAAGTCTTCATTGTAAAAAAGAAATTTTACTTGAATCTCTAGTATGTGGGCATTAGAGAATAATGTCAAGAGGTGTCAAAGGAAAAAGGCTATTGCTTCACAAAATAGGATGACTGAGAACCAGGCATGGGGGGTGGTAATGGATCCTAAATCCCAGAAGGAACGAAAGTGAAAAGAAGCAAGATAAGTTAATTCAGGACATTCACTTGTCTGGAAATCTATGAACGGCAAATAACTAAGGACAATTTGTGATGTTTGAAATGAAAGTTTTTAATGGAAGTAAGAGAACTTTTAAGCCATTTGAAGTATCTAATACAATACATTTTATCCTTAGAATGGTCTAGAAGAAATAGAAATAAATTTGGAACCAGGGCTCTTTGCTACTTCTTATGAAAATTTAGCACTCTTTATTAAATATAATAAATCTGTGTCTCAGGTTGCATTGAGATCTATGAATCCAAGAAAAAGGTTAGATCAAATCATTTCTAAATCTCCTTAGCTCTAAAATGTTTTCATATAGTAACCTAGAGTGAGAAGGAAAAAACTGTCACTTGATATATAATTTTTTTCTCTTCTCCTATCTGCTTCTTTCTGTGAGTGGGCTTTATTCTTTCAGTCTGCACCAGTTGCCTCTTCATACTTGTTTCCTCTAATGATATAGTCAGTCGCCCTTACCCTGATGTTCCACGGCCCCTCCTTCAGTCCAAGGCCATTGCTAGAACAGCCATCAAGGGATACATGAACTCCATAGGCCTATCTAAGGAGACTAGATGATGACTAGCAGGTGATGTGATCAATGTTTTAGATTTAGAACGTTGCAACATGGAATGTGGTCCAATGACCATAAACATCATCCAACAGCATATTGGAGGTACAAACTTTTATCTTCTCCCTACAGAATCAATATCTGTGTTTTAAAAAGAGAACCCAGTCATTGTTATGAACATTGAAGTTTATTTGGCACTTAGAAATTTCATTCTGGTAAGATAATAAAAGATGGTTTGGGGAAGCAAAAACCTGAGGACAAAAGGTTACCTGTTCATTCTTTTAATTTTTTTTT